ACCGCCGGCGGCACACGGTCGACCTGGCGGGACGCGGGCGCCAGAGGATGACCGCCGGCGGCGCACGGCCGACCTGGCGGGACGCAGGCGCCAGGGGATGACCGCCGGCGGCGCACAGCCGACCTGGCGGGACGCGGGCGCAAGGGGATGACCGCCGGCGGCGCACGGTCAGCCTCGGGAAGACCAATCATGGCCGTGGATAACACATCTCTAAGCCGAGTGACTTCTCCTTGTAACGATCCCTGACGTCTGAAAGCCTCCTCAATTACTTCCTCTATCGGCGGCAGAGAGCGGCGCTAGAAACACGAACTCTGACTTTACTGGAATGCCTTTCAGCCCAGCAATGACGTCCCACCGTGTCATTATGTGACGCTACGGCCCTACACCGGGAGAGCGGCGCCTCTGTCAGTCCTTTCAGTCGGCCATCAAAAGGAAACACCACGGCAACGAGCAAGATCAAGCACATCCACCAGCACGCACGCAGCGCACGAAACGTGGGTACAGCTGCACGCAAGCCGAGCGCGACGCGCGGGCACGGCTGCCTCCTGTCAGCCTTGTTGTATTTTAAGGCACAGCCGACCGAAAGCCAGGCCTACCGCTGGTGCAGAGCGCCACCACGCCCTCGCCCGGCAGCTCACGCCGGCAGCGACGTCGCGGCTCTACCACACAGGAGACAGCCCTCGGCAGCCACCGTCGCACGTCCAACACGGGGGGCGGCGGCCACCGGGCGCAGTCGGGCCGGTCGGTGACGGCTAGCGCCGCCGCCGGCCGGCCCATCAAGTATTGAGACCGGCGGCCGACGGGAGCCGGACGGGACAGCTCGACCGGCCCGACCGGCGGCGCTCCACTTCAGCCCGCGCTAGCTGGCGCTTCGGCCCTCACCCGCGCCCTGTCCACTGCCAGCTGCCAAGCGAGCGCGCAGCAGTCGGCCCGGCCGCGCCACAGCAGCGTCCCCGTGGGGAATCCTGCGGGGCAGTCCCGTGGGACCCCGTGCGCGAGGCGTCCAGGTGGAGAATCGCACAAGCGCTGCATTCTTGGGCACTCGGTGGGATAGTTGGTGCGGGAGTCGAGGATTCCCAGAATGTACTGAATATACCT